TTCAACGAAGAAGTAAACATAATTCAACGGCCGTTAAGATCTTGATACTGGCTGCTTTTATTGGACTATATCCTCTAACTCTCTGGGATGTAAATTTCCGGCGATAACCTGTGCAGCAATAAACTTCATTCAGCCACAAGAGTGTGCATGTGAGAGGATTGCAAATCTGCTCCGCCAAACCAGAATTAGCCGGTATCGCAGGAATGAAAGAGCGTGGAGATTTGAAATTGCAGGGAATGGAGACAAGGCGGTGCAGAAGACGAGCCGCCCGGGGGGCAGGGGGCCCCAGACCAGTGCCGCACTCCAATGGAAAATAAGCCCCGGGGCGGCGAGCAGGGGCGAGGCTGAGCGGGGCCGGGCGCAGGTGGACACCGCAGCCCGCAGCAGCTCTCGGGGCTCGGGCTGGGCTGACAGCGGGGCTCGGCGCCGTGGCGGGCAGGGACGGCGGCGCTGGCGGAGCCCGCGCGGTGAGTACCTCGGGAAGAGCCGGGAGCCGCCGCACCGCACCCGCACCGGCACCGGGACGGGACGGGAGCGGGCAGGGACCGCCTGCGGCAAAGGCGCGCAGGGCCGGGCCGGGCCGGGCCGGGCTGTCCCGCACGGTGCAGCGCGGGGCAGGGCGCGCGGGCTGCCCGGGGACCGCGGGGACCCCCTGACCCCGCGGCGGGCCGGGAGCGCCGGCTGCCGCAGCGGGTAACTCGCGGTCATCCTTTGTGCTCCGCGGGCGGGCGGTGCCGCCGCCGCGCCGCCCTCCCGAACGCCGCCCCCCGCCGCAGCCCGCGGCCGTGCCCGGGCCCCCGCCCTGCCCGACACCGGCGCTGCTGCGCTGCCACCGGAGCAGCCCCGGCGCGGTGTTCCGCGTAGGGGAACCTCACTGGAGTGCTGGGGGAACCTCACTGGAGTGCTGGGGGAAGGCTCAGCATGTGGAGCTCCCAGATCTGTTATCTTGGGGCGAAAAGTACATCCCCTGCCTTCGGGCTGCTCTTGTAACCCTGTACAAAACAAAGGTGCATGCCTGGTGAAAGCTGACCATTCCCTTGGCAAAAGCTGCCCGTTCCCTTAGGAGAAAAATGTTTTACTGTCTAAACCAATCCCCGCAGTCCCCGGGGACGTGGCACCACGCGTGGGTCGCACCGCGGCAGAACAGCACCGAGGGGAGGTCAGAGCAGGGCTGGGGAAACAGCTCTCGGGAAGGGACAGCAGGGCAGCACCCCAGTCTGGAAATGGAACCGCTGCCGACTTTATGCGAAGTTGTGACCCTGGCAGTTAGCCTTTTTAACATTTAATTTCCCCGATTTTGTGTTCTTTGCTGGACACACACTCCTGCCACTGTGGCTCTGAGTGGCAGAAGTGGCCAGTGTTCGCATCTCCAGTGAAGTGGTTGACAGCTGAAGTGCTCGTGTTGGCTAGGTGAGGTCAGACTGCCAAAACATATGAAAACCAAAATAAACGATGTTTTTAACGATGTTTTTTTCTGTATGCCTTCAGCAGACAAATAATTACATGTGGTATGTCTACTGGGAATATTGCAAAGCAAAACTCATTACTAGTTTATGAGTTTATGAGTTACGTTTATGAGTTATCCATTGGAAGTGCCTTTAAAGTACGATTTCATTCTGTAACTTTTAACACTGAGGCAGTCCCGTGCTAGAAGAGGTTGCCCAAGTATATGTCAATTATTCATCATATGGACTTTATATCAAGATCAGATGTTTTTCAGTGATCTAGTTCAACTACCGGCTAGAGAGCCATAGCTCCACTGATAGTACAGGGAACTTGGGTGTTTTGCTGCTAACTATGGTCTTATTACAGCACCTGCATTTGCCCCTGAAATAGCTCATGAGTCACATTTTCAAAAAAGCTCAGCATCTTTGCAGGCACTACTATCTGGGCCATTTTTCTGAGAGCTCTGCATACTTTGTGTGCATACAGTCCTAAAAGCTTTTCTGAAAAAAAAAAATCTAGATCTTCTCCAGCTGACCAAACAGGAATCCAGATTCTCCTGCCTTTAAATGCAATTCCCTGTGAGGGGCTGTATTCAAACATTGTTACTGTGAATGGGTCTTCACTGCCTTGCTTACTGGGGAAACTGGCCTGGCTCTCCAGGATTTCATAATTACAAAGACTCCCTTGGGCTCCTCTGCCTTTCATGAGACTGTTTTTGGCTGTGCTGTGGTGTGGGAAGAAGGCTGAGGACAGGTAAGTGCATTTCTCCTGGGCACAACAGGCCATGGGGCGATGAGTCAGTACTGGGAAGGTGATCCAGGCATCCATTCCTTGCTTTATCCAGAGCCTGAGAGTCTGTGCAGTTATTGGAGATGACTTGCCTGCTTTTGAGTGAATTCACTCTGAAATTGTGACGTTAGGGAAAAGTTAACAGTAAAACAGTAATAATAAGCAAGAATCCAGTTCAAAGGGAAAATATATGCATTTTCTGAAGATTTGTGGAGGTTGATGCAAGTATGACATTAACTTGCATCTACTCAATCTAAGCCCATTCTGTCAGCAAGACTGCAGAAATGTGTCATATCTTTGTAGCTCAATGTCAATTATATTTGCTTCAAATAATTTAAAATAGGTAAAAGATGTGTCAATTTTCTGTCCAAAGAAGAAAATTTTTGTATCCAGTATCAGGATTCAGGTGTGTACAAAACCAGTCAAAAGCATAAAAGAGAAAGGTGAGGCCTCACATTTAATCCTGACTCTGAATTTTCAGTTACATAATTTTGTATTCCATTATCAAAGATGTACTGTAAAATCCATCATACATTTTCATTAATCTTATGCAGAGCATGTATAATAGCTTGTGATTTTCCTTCATTCTGCTATTTCTCATGATTTCCCATTAGCATGATTATTCACTGTGTTTATTGCCTTTATGCAGTTAGTCTTCTCTCTTGTGAGTGGGCTGAATCCTCCATAGGTAGTCCTCTAAACTACAGCAACAGGGGATCTGGCTCCAAGTACATTGTTAGGAAAGAGTTGAGATGTCACCTTTAAGACCTACCCTTTGTAGAGGAAGGATGAGCTACAACAGCTATCCCAGGCTGTTGTCTTATCATCAAAAAACAAGTCTGCACCCCCACATGGCTCTGCCTGGCTCCCCTGCTACCCTTCCTGCCTCAAACACCCTGCAGGACCTCTGGAAAGACCTCTAAGCACCATCCCCATTCTTCCTGTTTCTCAGTTTGGAAAGCAAAAGCCTATGAGGCATTTCAGTACCCGTTCCCACTGGCAGCCAGGTGTGGACTCATCAACTGATCCCAGTTTATCTGTCCATGCAGTGTTAAATGTACACAAGTTCTTGTTCTTCTTCCCTGTCACCAATACCTGCCATGGCCAAATTAGGGCTAGGGAGAACTTAGTCACTGAAGAGTATTTGTCTGTGAAAAATTTGATGCCAGGATTACAAGATATTTTAGCTCCAGCTCACTGTATGAGGCAAATCAGTGTGCTCTTGGAGGAACCTCCGTGTCCAAGCTGCCCTCAGTTACACATTATTGCCTGTAGTGCCAGGAGGGGTCAGGTGGCACTTGACTGCAAAGGTAACTTACCCAACAGCCAGGCTGGGGAGGTCACACATGTCAACAGGTGTTCACTGCTGTCTGTGAGAAAAACAGCTTGGATCAGTCAGCTCTGACTCCATCTGTGTATCAGCGTGGAATACTCCAGGGCCATCTCTCTGTGTTCACCTAGCAATCAGAAAAAAAGTAAAATCGTTTGGAAAGGTAGTACCTTGAGAAGCAAAATGCAGTCATGCATTTAAAGACAAATCTTCATTTGGTACAGAGTCTGAGTTAGTCCATTCACTGCCCGTTTGCAGCAGTGAGGAGCTAGCCCAGAAGGACACCTTCTGAGGGCTCACAGAATATATAAGGAGCTTTTTTAAACAATTTTTGATAACTTTCTTCTCTGTTTCAACTGTCGTGAAGCTGATGTTTCTTTTTATTTCTCTGGAGAAGGAAAGACAAAAAATTACCATCTCTGGTAAATTGTATCATTACATTTCTAGTCTCCATGGAAACCTATGTGGTGCTCCACAGTTGGGTAATATTTCAATCTGTTGCAGCAGAAATCAGATGGAGGGAAGGCTGGGTTCTGCACCTTGCATGTTAATCAATTAAAAATGGTCTTGAAATTATTTTCACATTGTGTTGCAATCTTTGTTTAGAGTAACAACAGAATAAATTGAAGTAATCAAATTAAGCTAAGTATGGCTTGCTCCTGTGTACACCTATACATAACTCTGCCTGTGGGTTTGATTCTGATAGGCACTGACATTCATTTGGAAGAATTCTTTGGTTTTGGTAGGATTATAAGGATTAATACTATGGAAACTGAAAGCATAATAGCAAACTGTTTGTCACATTGACTCTACTAAAAAGCTTGCCAGAGAGGTAGTAACAATCCCCTTGTTGTGATTTATGTAAGCAAAGTGTTTTGAAAATCAAGAACCTTAATTCTTTATCTTTTGCTGTCTTCATTCTTGTTCTGCCATTGCTAAGGAAGAAATACATCTGAAAACTGGTTTCCTCTGAAAAGATGGGGTAACTTCATCTACTTGCCTCTTGAGGATTTCATTTCTTTACTCAAAGCTTTATGAACTTGAACACAAAGGCACAAAATCTTACTGGGACAGCAAAAGGTGATACAGTGAAGAAATATACAGAGAGAGACCAGTCTTTTTTGTGACCACAGTCAACCCATGAAGAGTGAGTGCTCTCAGCCACCTGAAAGTAAGTAGAATCTATAGTAATGGAAATAATGCAGCCTACTCTTAGCCTGTAAATACTCCTGCATAGACAGCCATGATAATAAGGTACACAAAGAAATAAATTAATTGGACAATTTTCTAAGCATTTTACATTTGGACACTGAAATCACAATAATAACTTGAGAACTGCACTAAATAAAAGTGGTGAAATATGATAGGGATTTGTGGTATTCACTACAGCCAAAATAAAAAGTCTGATATTTTTGTGTGTATTTTGTAGGTATTTACTGCATTTGTTTCAGAATACTGTGGAGAAAATGTATGCTAGTCGAGAGGATATTGGGTATGATTTTGGAGACAACTCAAAAGTTGGAAGTAAGCCAATTAAGCCTAATCCAAACATCGATGGAGGATGGGCTTGGATGATTGTATTTTCCTCTTTCCTTGTGCACATACTTATCATGGGTTCCCAAATGGCCCTTGGAGTACTCAACATGGAATGGCTTGAAGAGTTTAATCAGAGCCGTGGCTTAACAGCGTGGGTCAGCTCCCTCAGCATGGGCATCACACTTATTGTAGGTATGTTCTAGCATCTCTTACTTCAAAACTACATAGATTTTTAGAATACGTTTGCCATTCATCCCTGAAGTATTTTCTTAGTTTCCCATTTTATTAGCAGAGCTGACAAAGTTGTCCTGAGTTGCCTTTTTGAAGTCCCTAGGACGAGTTTTACAATTTAGATGGAAAAGGGAACAACAGGGAAGATGATAGGGATGTCAGTCCAGGAGACAGGATGAGAAGGAAAGGAAGCCTGTGACTTCAAGGTCTCACTATAATTAAGGAAACAGATGATCTGTGAAGCTTGTGGTCCTTCCTGTACTCTGTCTAGGAGGAGAAAATGTTGAATTCAGTTTATATTTCAGTTTGGCAGCTGAATTAAAACTTACTTTTTAAGTTGTGGTTGGATCAATCCAAAATAATATCTGGAGGATATGGTTGCATGTATGTGTATATATACACCTATGGCTCCCTAAATGAAGACTGAAAAAGCTGTGTTTAGATCTGCCTAAAATATCCCACTGAAAACGAAATAAAATGTTTACTTTCTAGTTATTTATGAAAAAGGCCTGCACTCACACAGCATCAGCACTGGGAACAGCAGTTTCAGCTTTTTCCTCTGTTTAAACTGTCTATCCTTCATGAGGCAACTCTGATTTTAGGTCTTGCAGGTATTTGCTAAGTATTTGATCAGTTGGTCATATTTTTCTTTGCATAATTTTAAGCAGTAATATGGAAAATAAACTGAATTGCACAAGTTGCCTGATATTTTACATTTTATTTAAAGCATTAAAAAAGTCAGTGTGAAAAATTGCTAGAGCAAAAGAATTAAATAAATAATTTATCTTTTCTCTTTTTTTTTTCCCCATGTTTTTTAACAGGTCCTTTTATTGGTTTATTCATCAGCATGTGTGGGTGCCGCCTGACAGCTATAATTGGAGGGATACTGAATGCCCTGGGTTGGATCCTGAGTGCCTATGCCTCCAGTGTGCACTACCTCTTCCTTACCTTTGGGGTGACAGCCGGTAAGAGCTGCACTAATGTTGGAAAGTTCAATTACTTTTGATTCCTTTGAAGGTTATCTGAGTGAGTCAAGAGGGAAGTTAGATCGTAAAGTTATTCCAGCTCTTCTTTCACAGTCTTTACAGCCTTTTATCTTTTTAGAAATCTTAATTATTTACTCAGTGGATTGGGCTTTTATCAGTTTTAGCCAAGTGAATATATTAGAGGACATTTTTAATTGGAAGAATTAATGTAACCCAAACTCTAACAAATGAAATTTAAAGATGTTAAAACACTGTTGAGTGGATTTCATACCTAATTTCTAATAAAGGATATTCACATTGTATCAGCAATCATGTATAGCAACAAATAGTGCTACACTTTTTTACAACCAAAATGACCGAAGTAATATTTTGTCATTTTAATTGAAATTAGATGTCTAGAAAACCTTTTGTCTTGTAAGACCCTGATCAAAATATGAAAAGGCATTTTTCTTCAAAATCAACAGATCCTTAGTACCTGAATGCTCATGTTCTAGCAATAATGTGTCTTGTGAAAAAATTTAGTTACTTTAAGTGTTATGTAGAATAGCCCAGTATTATCTGCTTAAAGCACAACTTCATTTTATTTACTGTTCATTTCTGCAAAGAGATACTATTAATAGATATGAAGCAGAAATGTGAAAGTTACTCAGGTAAGAAATATAAAATTTCTTTATCATCTGAGCAACACTGAGCAATCAAGGGGCTTTGAAATATTACTCACTCCACAGATAACAAGGCCAATGTTTGCAGATGAAGCACAGTGTCTGTATTATATGTGACAGATGGAAACGTCATGAAAAAAAGGAATTGTTTGTAATACTAATAATAGCTTCAGTACTCGGCATTCTCTTAAACATAGAATTTCATAGAAAGCTACAGAATTTCTATACAGAAATTTTGATTTAGCCTTCTGGGTGGAGAAATATTGAAACTAGCAATGGTCACTGTGCTGACTCTTTATACCACCATACCATAGACTTCAGTAATGTAAATTCCTGAACAAAGAACAACGGCCACAGACAGGGTTTTGCCTTTTTCAGAATTTCTGTTTCTGTATATATTGAATATAATTGAGCAGGCAGGAATCTACATATTTTTCCCTCAGCCCTTGCTGCTTTTCAGGAAGAGCACACACAAAGTGACAAAGATTATATGGAAAAAATTCGGAAGCAAACTTTTATGTGAGGTGGAGAAATAAAATGGTCTTGCAGGAGTAATTCTGGCCAGAAAAGCAGTGCCTCAGATGTTCCTTCCAGCTCCATGAGACCTCCGTTCACTGTCCCCTGACTCACCATCTCCTTGACTCACCGATCCCTGGCTCACCACCCCCTCACACATAGTTTCCTCACTCACCCCTCACCTCAGGCTCTGCCCACTCACTCCCATCCCCTTGCTCACGGTCACCTCATTCCCCACCACCCCAGGGAAGTCTGTGCCATGTTCTCATGGCTGCTGTTCCCTTACAGTGGCCGCCTCTTGCTGCCATCACTTCTGGGCCCCCCTGCTATGCCTGTAGGCCTACTCATGGCTCCCGCCTTCTCACAGGATGTCTCTGTGACCCCGACCGTGTCTCCCTGTCCGCAGCCAGCCCTCTGCCTCAGCCCATCCCGGGGGGTTACCTCAGAGTAGTTCCCCTTCCCCAGCTCCTCACAGCCTGGTCCCCTCACCGCCTGGCCGACAGCTCCAGCCCCGCTCTGCGGGCTCTCCTCCCCTCAGCAGCAGTGTGGGGGCAGAGGAGCCTTCTCCCCTCACCCGTCCTGGAGCCGCTGGCACGGGCAGGCCCTGTGGGCTGGGGGCAGACTGTCCCCGAGGCCCTGCATGGCGGGGCAGAGCCGAGCTGGCCCTGACGAATCTGTGAGGAAAAGGCAAGGAGAGACCTGCGGCCCCATGTGTGCCTGTGAGGCAGGTACATGAGGCCTTCACTTGTAATCAGACTGTCTCTCGCTATGTAGCCCACAGAATGAAAAGATAACACCATTTTAAAATGCCGTATTCTTGGGGAAACACGGTGAGCACTGGTGCAAGCAGGAGCTGATTCCTCACTGCGGCCAGCAGTGAGGGGCAGGAGAGCTCCAGGGCAGCCTGAGGAGCGGGAGGTCCCCAGGAGGGCAAAGAGGCCTCCCTGAACTCTGTGGCTGGGGGGGGGCATTTGTGCAAAATAAAAACCTGAATGTGTATTTGCCTAGCAAAGAAATACTTCTAATAGGCAAAACGGGTCAGCTCTGGTCATGGTCACTGCTGTGATGTTGAAGGGCTTTTTTTCAGGCTTTGCTGGAATCACTGTTCTTTCTCACACCTAGCTGTAGCTAGATCATGCTGTAGCTGCTTGCAGCTGTGTTATCACCTATTTAGGAAAACTTTTAAACCCCAAAACACTCTTCTGAATTATGATCACAGTGTATTGGGAAGCATCTTCTGCATACACCTGTTCCAGTCCAAATTCCTCTATGAGGAATAGGCTGTGAGAAAAAATGGGCAACTGTCTTCTTTAACAATGAGTTTGCACAGCTCTTAACACTTTCTGCTTGAAGTATATACCTTGGTTTTTAACTACAGGTGAGGGGGTTTCTACAAAATTAGAGATCTGCCTTTTAAGCTTACGCCTGTGCAGCTACTGTGTGGCCCTCCCTGGACTTCCTTGGAGTGCCCAAACAGAACCAGCCTGGAAGCCACCCAAGGTCCCCCCGCCGTGCTAAGCCCTGGTGCTGACTCCTGAAACACATACCGTGGTCACTGAGGCACCACAGTTACAGAGCAAGGACAAAAACTCAGTGTGAATCTTCACTGCTGGTGAACTTAGGGGAAAGCAGCAAGATGTGCTCACTAAGCAGTTCGGGTCACTGATACAATCAGATGCAGGTATTGCAAATGCAGAATAGGGTGTGTCTGTGTTTGTCCTCACATTAACTGTCCCTGATTGGTTGTGGCACGTTTGTGCCCTTCCAGCAGTGTCATGCTGAACTGAGGTAAGGTTTTATCTTCCACGTGTTTAAGTTTTTCCAGCAGTTAAATATCTGTTTTGTATTCTCACTGGAATGAGTACTGAAAATTTTGGAAAACACTACAAGACAGAAATGAAAGCTGACATCAGAATTGAATATTAATTTTTATTATTGGTTTTACCAGTATGCTTGCATAAAAGTTAGGAATAAAACTGATCTGTTTTTCATTGCTTTTTACATTGTTGGCAAAAAGTTTAAATTTATCTAGGATTTTTTTTATTATTTTCATAGGCATTGGAAGTGGCATGGTTTATCTGCCTGCAGTGGTCATGGTGGGGCAGTATTTTCAGAAGAGAAGAGCACTTGCACAAGGGCTCAGTACCACAGGAACAGGATTTGGAGCTTTCTTAATGACTGCCTTACTGAAGTACCTCTGCGCTGAATTTGGGTGGAGAAATGCCATGTTCATCCAGGGTGCCATCTCTCTGAACCTTTGTGTCTGTGGGGCACTAATGAGACCTCTCTCCCCCAAAGACCTGAGTGAAAAATCTGTTGTGAGAAGTAATAGTGAAGATAATCAAGCAAAAGCTCTGTCCCATTCTACAGAGACTATAAAATCTAATGGAGTCCTCGGTGAAGAACCAGAGAAAAAAGAAGAGGCAGCAAATGAAGGAGTGCTTGAGAGTGCTCAGCACACAGAAATCGGAGGTAGCTCTGGGAGTGGAAGGAGTATGTATGGACTGCGCTTGCTTAAGACAGTGAGCCAGCTGACACTTACAGTCAGGAAGGGCTTTGCACTATGGTACTCCAGCTACTTTGGAGCTGCATCACTGTTTACCAACAGAGTATTTGTGGCCTTTATAATTTGGGCTTTGTTTGCCTATAGCAGCTTTGTCATTCCCTTTATTCATCTTCCAGAAATAGTCAAGCAGTACAACTTATCTAGGCAGGACAATGTATTTCCTTTGACATCCATTATAGCAATTGTTCATATTTTTGGTAAAGTGATCCTTGGAATCATCTCTGATCTCCCGTGCATCAGCACATGGAATGTCTTCCTTATGGCTAACTTTACCCTGGTCACCTGCATTCTTACTCTGCCACTAATACAAACATATGTCGGCCTGGCTGTGGTTTGTGCTCTAATAGGATTTTCCAGTGGCTATTTTTCTCTAATGCCTGTTGTGACTGAAGATTTAGTTGGAACTAAACACCTTGCAAATGCCTATGGCATCATCATTTGTGCCAATGGAATATCTGCATTGTTTGGACCACCCTTTGCAGGTAAAAAGTTCAAATTGCTAAACAACAGATGTTTGTATAATAACTGTATGACTCCTTCTCTTATTAAATTTTCTTATGTTATGAGCATGTGTAGTTAACAAAATCACAGCTACTCCAGAATGGACTATAACATTCAGCTTTAAATTGTACAAATTCACAGATCACATCTTCTGGATACCAGCTCACACATTGCAAATTCCAGTCCTTGGAAATAACCCCAGATTTATTACAATCTGTGCTTTCAATGGTATGTTTCCCTAAAATAGTGTCATGCACTTTTTTTTTCAACTAGAAAGGTGTAACCTATTTTTCTGTTTTATGTAGTATATGCACCATACATACCCATTCCTCTACCACATGAAAAAATGATGATTAGTTCCCAGGGCAGGCAGCTGTTTGTACCACAGTTATTACCCCCAAGAACTGTGGAGTGTGTTTGGGTGTCAACACTTTAAGCTGCCAGTGGATGTGTTGATGTAACTAACTTTGCCTTCCTTCAGCCAGAAATACTTACTCTGGGGACTGAAGTGCTCATAACCTCTTTACTGCCATTCACAGCAGAAGGTAGAAGTGTAATATGCATAGTACCCCTAGTTACTTGGGTTTGAACAGACATTCATTATGAATTTTCTCATAGAAAGAGGCAGAGAAGTGCAGAAGAGATAGGGGTCCTAATTGTCAGTACTGTACCAGACTACAGCTCTCTTTTACAGGGATGTTGGTCAGAAGAAAGCAGAAAAAAGCCTTGCTAGTCTTGGCCATGGTCAGCCAGGGATGGCTGTGGGCTGAAGGGAAGCCACTGGCAGCACGAGCAGCCCAGAAAAGAGAGAACAGCTCCTCTGCCCACCTCTGAGTCAGAAGAAAGCTCACTCAGTGCCCTTTGAAAGCAGCAGTGTTTCACTCTGCCATATGTTCCCTCAGCACCTCTCAGTCTGTGCTGAGCGTGGCTCTGTATTTGGTCCCTGGTTACAAAGCAAATAGGATGCAAGTGGTTGATGTAAAAAGAGCTGCTGATCTTGTGGTGTCATCGCAATGCAACCAGTGTGACAGGAGAGAATTTTGCTAGTTTGGGTTCTCAAACCTTTCTGAAATAACTTTAATGTGGTTTTGCAAAGGAATTGAGGTTGGAATGAGAGTCACTGCAGCACTGAGATTATATCTCCAAAAGTCTTTTACTGGTATGTGAGTCTTTGAGGAAGCTCTTGGGAATGTGTTTGCTTGCACAAGGCAGAGCATTTGAACTGGGCAGTGTTGGGGATTTCACAAAGGCAGTAGTAGGGTGGAAGAGCTGATTGGTTTGGGATTACAAAATGTCTATTTTAAATTCAGACCTGTGACAACTTGTTTGAAAATTGTTTGTTTCCACAAAACATCTATGGATTTGACTGAAATGTCATCAGAGAAATGTGAAGTATTTTTTGTATTTTCCCATGCAGTATACCTTGTTGTCAAGCTTTGTAACAAACATGTTTTGTCCTTATTTTCCAGGTTGGATCTATGACATCACACAAAAATACGATTTTTCTTTTTACATAGCTGGCTTGCTATACATGGTGGGAATAATATTTTTACTTATACAACCTTGTATTCAAAAGAAACAACCAAGACAAAAATCTACAGAAGAAGCACAAGTATAGAACAAATTCCAGAAGTTTTTTTACAGAACTTTTTTGATTTCATGTTTCTATTGTGTGACAGTATGAAGATGTTTTTCTTATGAAACCAACCACATTAAGCTGTACTTAAGTGAAAAGCAAATGTGCTCCATAATGCTAATAAATTATGAGAAACATGCTTTTAAAATAGTTAAGATCTCTTACTTTAGAAGTACCAAATACAGTGATTAAAAGCACACTGCTAGTCTTTTAATATCAGCACAATGCTAGTAGCCTTTACCCTTGCTTCTCTTTCAACTTTTCACCACTAACCACTGGTGAGAATCCACTGACTGCAGTGCAGTTACTCCTGATTTACACGAGTCCTAGAGAGAATTTGGTCAGGACATGAATGATTTATAAAGGTCCCTCCTACTATGTGTTCAGTCTGATAGTTACAGAGTATAAGAAAATGATTGTATTTCTTGCCTGGCTAGTCAAGTACTGTTGAAATGCTAGTATAAGAACTCCATTAATTGAATGTTTTAAAATCACTATTTCTGTGATACAAAACTGAAGAAAAGTTCTTATATTTTTCTGAAGTGACTCATTTTGACTTGATGATCCTTGTGTGTCCCTTCCAGCTCAGAATATTCTGTGATTCTGTGATTCTACTTCAAGGATTTTTAATTTTATTTTTTTAAAGTATCAACTGCGTAATAAAGTGGCCATCCTCAACACACAGGCTGCATTATAAATGCTGTGACACTTAATGCACCTGAAGTAAAAAAATCATAAATGCAGAAACGGGAAACATATGGAAAATATTCTCATGACTGGAAAATGATTCCAGGAACAGTCTGGGGTCTGTGGCCCCTTTACCTAATTAGAGGTACTGTAGAACTTCTTAACATTGCCACTGAGTCCTTCCACGGGAAAGAGCTCTAGTACAGCACACTAAATTCTCTTACAATTACTTTAATAACAAAACCTGTTACATTATGAGCAGTTGTGTTCCTGCTCATAGTATATACACCATGAACTGAATAAGATTGGTCATGTTTGAGAAGTTTATTCACTAGAAAATAAGATGCTGCAGAGCATAGAAGAGCTAAAGAACATTTGAATTATTCAAATAAATTTTCTTAACATGAAGCACCTGGTAACCAATGGAGGTGGTGTTGTATGGTGGGACAGGACATAATTTTCAGCTTTGAGAGGTGAATCTGATGTTAATTTTTCTATCAAAGAAAAACCACTGTATGTTTTTATCCTCCTAGCTTTATGAAAGTTTTTTGCATGACAAATCAGGTTCTTAGTATAACACTGATATGTGCTGCTGGAATTCCTTAAAAACACAATTGATACTATTCAATTATATCAAAGAACTATTAGACACAGTTGAGTTTGCAACACTACTGATCCTCTTTATAGCTGCAAAGTTGGCTGAGAAAAAGTTCTGAACCACTGTGTGTATTGTTCTATATTGCAATTCACCAGCTTCTTAGTGTTGCACTTCTACAACTGTTGGCAAGGACATATTTTAAAATAGATCACTGAAATGAGCCAAAAAAAACAACCTTAAGAAAACCCTGAACTACTTTAAGATTTAGATCAGTTCAATCATATAGTAGTTATGTATGGCCTTTAAAAGTCACATAAAACAACTGAGGTGGCACTGAACTGCAACACATGGTGTGAACACACAGTAACTTCTTAAAATCAGCTTTTTTTGTTGGAGAAGATGCTCACATAAACTTTCACATCAGTTCTTTGTTACAGGTTTAATGTCTTCTTGTTGTGAATGCTGCTGATAGCTTATTTTAACTGAGCTATCTTTTATCTGTGAAATATATATATTGAAGTGACGATTTCCCTTATTTTCCTTTTTTTTTCTTTTTGAAAGATATGTACTCTTCATACATAGATCTTCACCTTGTCTTTTGTCAAAAGTAACTTTATTTGCATATTACAGTAATAAATAATATGCTGTTCACTTGTGATATCTGCATTATATCTTTCTATGGGCCGTATGTTGGGAATAAAGTTACATTACCCAAAAATACACTTTCTGTTCATTTATTAATTCAGTTAGGATAGTGTTTTATCTGCATAATGAAATTTGTATTTATCATTATCCTAAAATGAAAGAATCACAAAGAAGAAAGGATATATATGTGTTTCTTCTAAGATCAATGATCACCAAATGCTTCCAGAATATTGATATATACATACATATATACACTCTTAAGGAACCATTGTTATAGTCTTGAAAGACAAAAAATATCTCTTATCAAATATGCAACTTGAACAATGGAAGTAAATTAGTTCCTGCATCAGCAGGATGAAGGAAACACGTTTCCCATTTGCCATCCTGGCAGAGTGCCTCTAACATGGTGTTCAAGGATTGTCCAAGGTGAGGATGATCATCTGATCCACACTCTCAGTCTCCAAAGAAGTTTCTTCTTGGTGACAAAATTATTATTTGTTTGAAGTTTAGATAATTAATTTAAAAACATTTCAACACACATCAAACTCTGGAAACCAGCTCCATGTTATTGGCCTGTAAACACTGCAGATTTACCAGGGGGACAGTAAAAGGCCCAGTGCTCAAGAGCAATTTTTCTAGCACGAAGTGATAGATGCTTCTGGAAGGGTACTAATGACAATGCCACAGCATCTGCTATAAGCCAGGGAGTGGATAGGAGATATACAAACCAGACAAGTCAGAATGAAGAAGTACAAAGAAGCCACAACCATTTATATTACTAGTAGCTGCTATGATGCTGATTGTAACGCAGTTTCAGGATGCCCAACATATTAAAGATTGTATTGTTTACATGTTGCTCCTAGTAAGACATATTTTGGTTTTCCTCTTTCAATCCTTAAAGAAATCTGCTTTCCTCAGTAAAGAAGTCCATGTGTTTGACCCAATAAACAGCAAACCCACACCTTACAACAATTGCTTCAGTGAAAAATGAACCTTTATTCAGTTATTTGTTCTGAACATCTTGTTTCTGCCTCCTCCTTCAGAGCTGTAGCTGCAGTGGACATCTGTGTGCAGAGAATGGTTTCCAGCCCACTTCCTATGCCAGCTCCTTCATTTCAGGTGTGATTGTGTCACGCAAGTTCTCCACAATAGTTTCCCATAGCACACTGTCACACAGGTAGTTGTAAGAGAAAGTAGAGGGTTAGAAATCATAATTTGGCTTACTCATTGGTGATTATTCTACCACACAGAATGTGTTTAGACAGCACAGAGGCCTTGTATCAAGGTCACTTGCAGTGTGAGCTGCCCACGTATCTTGAAAGACACAGTTTTAGTTAAAATTCACAAGATATCAGTGGAAGTTTTGCCCAGAGTTGCCAGTGCAAGATATCCCATGTTGCTCTGTGAAATATCTGAGAAGCTTCTTCTGGTATGATATCAAAGGCCTTTCTGTCACACTAAAAGCAGCTGTAATGCCATAATCTCCTGGTATGTGATTGATACACCTGCTCTGAAATCAACCAGTCTGGGTAAGTTGATGCCAAAAGACTTGTCAGGATGTAGAAATCACATCAGAAATACAAGTGTGTTTTCAAGGACGTAAGAGAAGCCTTGGGCTTACCACAGAAATGCAATTTTAGGCAACTTTCAGAAGTACTGTAAGGATTAAGCCTGTTTGTCAGGAGATGCTTCTCTCTTTCAGAATGACTCCATAAAAAAATCAGGTAAAAATATTATAAAGAGGAAGAAAAAATAATGTAATTTATTAGATGACAGAACTATCACCAAAAAAAATTAGGAAGATACTCTGTGTCATTATGTATTATCTACCCATAGTAAGTAATACAAGAGCACAGCAACACTGATTTTTCCCCAAACGTTCCACTTCTCTACATGTGCAATTGCAGGGACCTAAGTGCAGTTGTACTCGATGACTCCAATTCAGGTGGCTGGTAAGTGGTAACAGAAGTAGAACAGCAAAAGTCCTGGTATAACTTGTGTTACTGCTGATGGAGCTGAACACCTTAAACTGTTTAATTCACTGCCTACAGCAAAGCTGTCACTGTACGTGTGAACTGTTTGTTCTTGTGCAGGCACACACAACATCCCAGCACGTTTTAGCAAAGGAAAAGCAGGGATCACTGAGGCAAAACTGCTGTAGGAGTGCCGAAATGAAAATATATACCTTTTAAAAGTTTTCTTTGAATTTCTGCTTTCTCTCTGCCTCTCCCCCATTCAGCTTTTCCCCTGAGAAATGGACACCGTGAAAAATAGCAGAGGCTGGTTTTTATTATCCAATGTTTTTATTTCCAAACACAGTGTTGTGTTAAGAAAAATTAACCATAAATATCGGAAGCAGAGCGCAGCCGCTCCCGCCGTTCCCGCGGCTCTTCCCCGTTCCCGCTGCTCCGGCCGTGCCCCGGGGCCCGGCGCCCTCTGGCGGCCGAACGGCCCCGCAGCACCGGGAATTCTGCAGGAGGCTCGTCCCAAAACAACCGAAACGAGTCCCGCCCTGCCCTTGTGCCGGGACAAAAATGTAAAATGCGAATACGGTATTTTATAATTCCACAGAGAGCAGCATTCCAGCCTACACGTGAGTTATTTTGGAAATGAAAACTCATATTATTGGGGCAAATTTTTAATTCCATAAAAATACTTCTGAGATGAAAGAGAACCTACTAGTTCTAGTAGGTTATTTCATTGTCCCAAAATTTTATCTTTCTTATCATGCAACTTAATTCTTTCTAGGATTTCCTTAAATTCCAGAATATCCAAGGCTTTATGTTAAACTAATGAAAAGTTTATTGCCCTGCACAGTACTTCATCCTGCTCCACTCACAGTCTGCAAAATGACAGATGAATTCCAGATATACTAACAAATAATTTCCTGACCTCTCTTCTATCCATTCTCTTCCTCTCCTTTAGTTGTTTTTATTCCCTTACTCTCTAACCAGTTGTTTCCCAGTCACAATATCAACTGTTTTATCTGCAAACTGAAATAAAGCCCAGACCTCAGCAAGCTTATCTCCTCCCATCTGGCCTTCATCTCTAAATTAATGACATGCTCTATTTTCCTGACTCGCCATGTTCTCCTGTGCTTTCTTTGCACTGTCTCCTATTTCTGTGCTCACTTGAACTCTGTCTTGCTGAAGCATCTGTAACACCTTTGCAGCACAGCCACGTCCTCTGGGACTGCCAGCAGTCTGACACACAACTTGAAATGTTGACCCATGTAGCTTCAAAATAATAGAAAGCAATCTATTGGGAGCAATCTCATCCTGATACAGTTTGGAGATGTGCTCTGTACCAGACACATCCCTGTCTCCACACTACACAGTTAATCTGTGTCTCTGAAGTCTTTCAGAGTGTATCTAGTTGTCACAGCAGACTCAAGACAACTAAACCTGGTTTTAACTTTTTCATAAGGTCTCACCATTATGTTTTCATTAACTGCTCAACTCATAACTTGACAGGCTTCATTCTAGGCTCCTACAGCACCCTTGGGGATAAGAAGTTATTTTTCTCTTTAAAACATTTCTCTTCCTGTTTTTCATAAGCTAAAATCTTTTTCTCCCCCTACTGGAGTTATTGCAGCAGCCTTTTCTCAGGCTCTGACTGGGATAGAAAATACAGTTTTCAGACCCACAAAAAAAAGCTTCCCAGATCATAGCTCTGAACACATTATCTTTCTATCCCAATTTCCTGACCCTGCACAGACCAGGAAGCTGGAACAGATGACCTTTCAAAGGCCTTTCCAATATGACTTTTCTATATGAAGGACTTTTCAATATGAGGGACAGATTGCCCCTCATTCTGCAATGGCCAGGCTACCCTTCCAATTCGTTACCCCTCATTCAGCACAGGCAGGCTGCTCTGAGCTCCAGGCAGCCAATAGTGGTGACTTCTGTTATTCTCTCTTTAAAGTTTAAATTCAACATGTTCATACTATTTCTCATGCTTTCCTGATAGCTGGAAAGAGCTTCCTAGCGAGCAAGCATAAAGTCATCTCTTTCTCCTCCTGTGTTTCTTACAGTTTCTTGCAGTGAAGTCTAACAAAAAAAAAGAAAAGAAAAAGAAAAAAAAAAGAAAAAATCTCTTTCCTTGTGCTCCTGTCTTTTGTCACAGATGTAAATGTAAGGAATGGCAGTGACTTTTTGTTTGCTAATGAGCCTAACATAAGGGGATCCCAGGCTGTGGCTGAAGTTTCTAAACATTACAATAATACGAATCATAACACAAAGCAAAGGTTTTACATTTCCAGTACTTAATCCTGGAAGTAGGGCATAACATCCAGCCACGGGTGGCAATGGAATTGTCTGCATCATTGTGTCTATTATAAAATAAAGGTTTGCAGGATAAGCACTATCTCTCTAAGATCTAGCTCAATAAAGAGACAACCCTTACTTTACTTAAGTAAAGCAGACAGATTGATGATTATGTTAAACCAATGAGATGAATCAAAACCAACATGCCAAAATTTTTACTGTTTCAGACCTGTGTGAAACTTGAGAAAGTCTGGCAATATCTTCAAGCTCCAGAAAGGAAATGATGTACAGGAGCAATGGGACAGGAAGCCGTTCCAGGAAGTCATACTTATCTCGCCACAGATTCCAGAACTTTGGCACCAAACAGTACAGGGAAAAAAAATGAAACCAAACCCAAGTGACAACAGACTTGTAAAAGTCTAAAGTTTCTTATCAATAATCTCAAGTTATTCACATACATCTTTAAAAAAAACCAAAACCAAAACCAACAGTCAGCTTATTTTTTTTTTTATGTTTTCTAGAGAAAATAACATTTAACATGAACAGCCAGAACCATTTTTGGATCCACTTTTCCACATACATATAGATCTTTTTACATAATGACTGTGCTAATTACTCAGTATATGACATTTTTTGGCTCATTCCTTTATAATCTAATACACCAAATTCTCTCTTTGTAGGTTTCCTACTTAGTGAGCTACTTCCCATCGTGCAGCCATACAGTCAATTATTTCTGCTTCTGTGTCCCACTTGGAACTTGGCCTTTTGTGTTCAACACTATTTCTTCAGATCACTTATCTATTTTATCAAATTGCTGTAATAAAATTACTAGTTCATTATAAAACAGAATCCCGAATTCAATTTGCTACACGTCTAATGAAGATTTTGATTTCCTAAGATCTAACAAAATGAATGCAGTCATCCAGATTAGTACAGGACTTTTTTTGCCTTTTCATACACAATCAAAATTTAAAGCAGAATTAGTATTTTTTATATTTGGAAATTTTTTTTAATACATCCAAAGTGGTGTCTTTTTATTGCTTTTTTGTTTGTTGGTTGGTTTGTTTTTGTTTTAACTGACTAGAATCTATCTTCTCATGTACATTAGAGTGATAAAAAGAGAGAAACAGAACCATGGAAATTGAAACTATACTAACTACAGGCCAATTTTGATGCAGCCATTTTCCTTCCAAAGTATTTTATAAGATTAGTTACAAAATTCAAGCTTACGTGGCTACATTTGAAAGAGCTTTGAAAATTACATGATTTCACTGCTAAGATGTTAAGAAACTTTCCTTCTTTTTTCCTTCCAAATATTCCTAAGGTAGCTATGGAGAAGGAAGCTAATGCCTTTGGGTAGGTGGCCCAATATTATGCAAGCTTTCATTTCCGTGCTGCAAGTGCAGTTTGCTGTCAGTTCTCCTTTGCTTTTTTGCTTTCCAAGCATGTCAGTTCTATATGGTTGGTAATTTTCCTCAAATTCCTTATGCAAGTACAAAATGATCTACACAGTCAACTAAAAATGGTTGGGCTGATTAATTCAGGCTGGTATGTAAGGATGATCAAAATCTTCACGTACTGGGAATGATGATGATGATGAAATACACTGAGCAGGTATTTCATGTTGAAGATTAAGCAGGCTACCACATGAATATCTGAGTTTTTCTTTAAAATGATTTATTTCTAGAAATAATAATGTGATCTGTTTTGGCTGTTTTAAAATATATTTAGCTGTGTTTATTTTGCTTTATTAATGTATCTGCAGCTAATGATGAACTAACTATGAAAATCTATTGAACTTCAAGTTTTCTATGAAAATTTCATCCTGTGAGTGCTGGAGACTATTTGATGAGTTGTACTATTTGTTCACTCATCCAGAAATATAAGTAGACCTCTCTTCTCTTGCTCGACACTATCATCAATTTATTTTCCATCACTGCAAAACCATATATAAAACCTTGCTGTACCCTCTTGGCTTGATGGAGATTATGAAAAGAAACTAATGATAAGTTATTTCACTGTCCAAAAAGAACAGAAAACATTTCAAATCAAACACAGATGTTTATAGGTGTATGGTAGTTACTATAAATTTACTAAAATGCTAATGCTAACTGTTTAAGCACCTTTCTTTAAAAAAAAAACAAACCATGAAAACAGATAAAATCTTAGGAATGAAAACTAGGAGATAACAACAGGAAATACCAATACTTAACAGGAAAACACTTTGGTGGCTGGGGTATGTACCAAATATTTAGCAGCAAACCATGGGGATGATGATGAGTTTTTTCTTTGAACTCATTTAGCAAAAAAATCAGTAAGGATAACTAGAATATTATTCCAGTACATATATATATGTATAATTCCTATATATATATTTGTGGAGAATTAAGAGAAAAAATGATAATTTGTGAATACTTAGGAGCAGCAAAGCTCCCTTTAACAGGAGGTGAGGAGGTGTAAAAACATCTGATTGTGTGGAACAGCAAGAGCTATGGACAGAAATAGTGTCAGGATAACAATACAATTTCTCACAAACATAGTAATTTATTCTCATAATACTTCTATTTATATTAGCACTTTTCTGAAAACAAAGCACTTTTATCTTATATGATAATTTTAATAAAAAATTGAGGGGAAACTCCCAAATTTTGAGATGATTGTAGAAGGAAGAAATAATCAAATGTTAGAAAAGAATGGCAACTGTGGCTTTCAATACTTCCTATGGGATAGGAAGCCTCTGAACTACCAGCAATACTTTTCAAGAAAAAGCAGGCAGATCTTATTTGTAACCTACTGAAAACACACAGAGTAATAGTAGAAAACTGCATGTTAACAATAATGTAATCATTTGAATCACTGTACCCAGGTAATGTAAAACAGATGTTTTATTGTGACATCATACTAATATCAAATGCTGCAGGAAAATGTTACACTATAAGCAATGGAAAAAAACCCACTAAAATCCTTCTCACTAACATATATTCACATGTCAAATCTACTTTTATGAGGTAAATAAAATAAATCCACCAGTGGTAAACAAAAAAGTATAGAAAAATACTTCTTTGAAAGCTCAAGTTTATAAAAATTGATGATCAATTTTGCCACAAATTAAAATGTGGTACAACTCTGCTTCAACTAACAGAGCAATTATGAACGTCTACTGCAAAACCCCAGCATATTTAAAGACACCCTGAGCCTGAGCCAAATCCAACAGGCAGTCCATTTTCTACTGGTTCAGGATACATTCATTCCCCTTCTAGTCAAAACAAGCAGTAATAACTGGAATTAAAGATTGGTTTTGTCATGGACTGTGAGTGCTGATTGAGACTTTTTCCATGGTTCAGACACATATGCAGTCACTTGAGGTTAGGAGGTGTGCTGTGTCCGTCCCTGGAACAGCAACAGTGCTCACCTGCAGCCTCCCACCCAACGGCCTAAGGAGGTGTCACTGTTCCTATCAGATCACTTGATATCGATCAGCTGCAAAAGTTATAGAGGGAATGAGAAACACAAACCTAAACATAGAAGTGCAGACCACGCTAAATCACCAGGGCTAAAAATCTCTGGATTGTGCCGTAGGAAGTGTTAGATTTTAATAAGCAAAGCATAGGGAACATGTTGGTCTTATCCGAGATCATAAATGAAGATACAGTCAAGTTTATTCTTGAAAAGAGATATATAATGTTACCCTCTTCCCTACCACCATACCACTTACCCAGGATTCATATACTTCTCGGGAGAGCAGACCTCCTCCACCCAGGAGTAAATAACCATGGAATCCTAGAATCATCAAGGCTGGAAGAGACCCTCAAGATCATGTAGTCCAACCATCAACCCAGCACCACCATAACCACCCTTGTCACATCCAGACACCTCTTGCACACTTCCAGAGACAGTGACTCCAGCACCTCCCTGGGCAACTTACTCAGATAAGATGATGATTCAATAAGATGATGTCTACCGAAAACTGTTGATGAGAAAAACAGGACTTCATTTGAAAATGACCCCTTTCAAGTTCATAATAAAAATAGGATAAATATGAAGTCACATCTGTAACTATTTTTTTCAATATCTGTACACAAACAGAATACAAGAGCAGTTTATTTAAAAAAGAATAAAATCTCCCCAATCCAAGGTGTCCTGTCAGGTCTCTTGGGCTACAAAAGCCTCAGATCTCAACTGCAGTCCCTGCAGGTGCAGTTATGAACTTCTCCATTTCCAGACTAGGTCATGGCTCACCTCATCTATTCCCTCCAGTTAGTGAATTAATGTGTCTTTGGCTTAGTATTTTCAGGATACGTTCCTCTGTGAGCCATGATCAGGATCCACCATATCTTGTGACATGACCATCTCTTAAAGTTAATCCATTACTGAGAACGAAGATTATAGGAAGATGCAAAGCAATAACTACTTGGGACACACAGTTCCACAGAATTTTGGGGAAATGCATCATTATTTCAGATGTTCTCAGTGGCCAGTCTACCTTTGAGGTTTATTTAGTGATGTTTTTCTGGCTGCAGCTCCTGAAGTCATGTTGCACTTGCATAGTCCCAACTACCTGCAGCCTTTGTGGCTACTTGTGTTAAATCAGACTGGGAATCCAGGTGGCCATAAAAACAAATGGGCTGCCACAGAGCATTATGAGTTATTACCCATAAAAATATTGCTTCCTGGCCTATTTTTGTTGCTAAAATCTCTGTCATTGTCTTATAATGAAACTATCAGTGTTGCTGGGTTTTATAATATATTTAGATTTACTGTCACAGCTTTTTGTTTTTTCCTGTATTCATACATTAATTTATATTAATAAATTCATAGGAAAAAAGTCTATTAGCCAAAGCAATCACATCTTTCAGGAAGTTATTACAGACCAATATTGCTATGTTATTCCATTATATGCCACCACAAATTTGTAATTTTTATTATCATCTCCTATGAAGAGATGAATCATCAAAAAATCCTCCTGGGATTCTTTAATTTCTCCAGGTCTTAATTGATGAAATTCACTCCTAAGTGGCCACAATTGTGGAAGAAGAAAAAGAAAAAAAGCAGAAGAAATGAGTATCAAGTACCATGAGATAAATACTTAGATTCAGGTGTCAGATTGTGGAAATATTACTACAGTCCCAAAACAAAGTTATTGTAAGAGATCAGACCATGGTTACTTTACCAGCAGCCCTAAAACATGCTTCAAAGGACAATAAACATCCCAGAATGCACCTAGAACAAGTGTGAAATGTTTTTACATACAAAGAAAACATTCCCAACCCCTGCATGCAAATTGTTTGTAGAAATAAACACACATTTAAAGACATCTCAACTGGTAAAACTATAAACATTCTGGTTTTGTTTTTCATTTAGTCATAGAAACACAATTTAACCACATAATTTAATGCCTGATAAGAAGAAATACTCATTCAACTGCTCAGGCATTCAAAAGTGGTAGTGTTGGAAGTTACACTGTGATTTTAACATTTTGTTAAAATCAAAATTAATAGGACAGTTCAAAGGCTCAGCACTTAAGACTGTCTGAAAACTCTGGAAAAGGCACTCCAGAAGTACATGTTCAACTCACATTTTCAGAGACAGAAAAAGAAAATCTGCATTACAAAGCATGCAACTGAGACAAAAAATTACTATGAATAGTAAATTAGGTAGCTATGAAATGCTGGAGAATAAGTGGCCCTGACTATCAGTAATTTTCCCAGAGTTCTCTTAAAACATTACCTGTGTGCTTAAACAGCGTGTCAGCTTTTAATATTGACTTTCTTTTTGTTGTTGTCACAGCTGGGTCTACAGGAGAGGAAAGTCATAATCACGTTTCTCCCTTCATGCTAGTAAAGATCACACTCCAAGCCACAAGTAAGATTCCCTTGCTATTGTAGGCAAGGTTAAAAGAACATATATTCTAGTCTTACTAATATTAATATGGTTTATTTCCTTCCAGTTCATTGAGAAAAGTGAAGGCTTTACATTGTCATATCTATAGGTGGATTCCTGATATGAGTGATACAACTGACAAATGAGAATACTAGTGAGGTGAACACACACACATATATATTTTATATAAACACATATGTGTTTTATATGTGTATATAAAAAACAAACTCCACAGAGCTTTATTTTTCCTACTGGCATGTTGAAAATGAAAACTGAAAGCAAGCCTTGAGTTAACAGTCAATACTCACATATACTGACCGAAGAACAGAGTTAAATTTATCATTACAAATCAGATCTGACAACAGTGTTTACATCTCTCAACATCAAATTTAACTTTAGATCTCACTGGTATTTCAGTGATAAAATGTAGATTTTAAAGTTGAGAATTAAGTATTTGTAACTCCCAAAGAGTTGCATTCACTTTCATCACTAATTTTCAAATTAAAGCTCAGATTCCAGATGATCTGCTAAGACACCAGTCATTTCTGTATTTTTCAAGTCTTTCTTTTACTTTGTTAATCTCTTAGCTATAGCAACAGTAAACAAGTTTGAATAAAGGCTTAACATCTACATTTGAATGTCAAATATAGACAGCTAAAATTTATCATTTTGATGGCTATTGTGGCTAATACATCAATTATAGGGGGTAATCAGAATGCTAAATCATATTTCTGATTGCATACATACAGAATAGCTTCAATTACAGCTCAGACATATCTGCAATACTCTGTACCCTTATTATGTGAATAAATGAAAAAAACATCCTACTCAGTTACGTAAGTTCATCCTATTTTACAATACACGCACAATCTTTATTCCTTTGCAGTGAAACAGTTGCCTCTTTGAAGGCAAAAAATATTCATCCAATCTGCATTTTAGAATTTAATACACGAAAAGTAAACCACACCACTGAAACATTTGATCGTAGCAGAATTAACAGTTCTGCAATGGACATGCACAATATAGATTACCATGTTGCTAAAATAACATCCTTTCATATACTAGTGGTAACATGAGGATTCAATGCAGAAGTGATTGTAAAGCCCTTGTCATTCTGTTTCAGAGACGATTTTAGTGCCTGGGAAGGCTTTAGAACTGGTATGTTTGCAGCCCACCACGGGGATAATAGGACACTGAATGCTGTACTGTACTTCCAAAAGCTCTTTTTATCTCTGGCAGTGTAGGGAGAATCAGCATGTAGGGCTACTGCCATTCTTATTTGTGGAAAACACGAGGTGAGAGTAAGGTCAGAACAAAACTGATATGCAAATAGAGAAAGAAAAGACATCTTTGTAACACGTTCCTCAGCTTGCACACCCTTCAACATGGTATGCAAGAATACAGTATCCTATAGGGAAAAATCCCATTGTTAAAGGAGAAAAGGAACATGGTTAATAGACTTTCTCTGGGCTTTTTCATGTTACTGTTGGAAGTGACATTTATTAAAAAAAAAACAAACCAGAACACCCAAACCAAAAATCCCCATTTCTCAGCATGAAAATGCCAAGTGTTACTGAAAAAGAAAATAGTTCTACCTGCCCCCAAAACCACTCACCCAAAATGATTAACAGCTATTGCTTTCTAACTTTTGAACAATATTCTACAGATTAAATCTATAAGGTTGTACAGAAAATGAACTACACACAAGTCTAATTCTTAAAAAAGCAGAAACATGTTGCACCACAGATTACAATGTGTAAATTAAATACATTAATCAATACTTTTCAGTATGGGATATACAGTACAACAGAACAAAGTGTATACAGATAGCAGATACTCAAATTCTGCACTGGTGTAAGCAAGACAAACTTTTCACAGCAAGTATTCCATGTATTTTTTGTTTAGTATTTTGTGTGTGTGAGTGTATTTATCTGTAATGTAACTTTAAGTATATGTGAGTGTACAAGAACGTCTTTAATCCAAACACTAGAGTGGGCATATGTGTCTATAGACTCTTGAATCAGATTTTTATCTTTATACAATCCAACAAACTCTAAAATGAAACACTAAGTCAATACTCTACAAATTAAATACCCCTGTGCATTACAACAGATGTTTTAACATGGCTATGAAAATTTACTTTCTCGCATTATTGTGTGCAAGTATAAATTCCAAAGCATTTTAATACTAATTTAAAAAAAAAATACAGCAATACATATTTCCATAATCTTACCTCCTTTTAATTGTTATACCAGGAAGCACACTGCAGTAGAACTCTCTGCCAAAATGGAAAGATCAGGCCAACATGCAGAGGCACAGGAAAAGTAAAATATTCAAGTAATTTTGTTGAACACCACTGTGATTTTTCTAAACATTATTCTTTGATTTACAGTGGAACAAACTGTCAATTGCATTAAAAAACTTCCTTATGTACAAATACCCGGGACAATCTGCAAGTACCTTGATAATTTCTTAGCATGTGGTTATTTCAAATAAAAATAATGCATAGACTTTGTAGTACCTATATTATTTGCATAGATTAAAAAGATGGAAAGTGTTGTAAGTGCATCCTGGTTACCATGGACACATTCCATTCTGGATGTTATTTGGAGGTGCAAGTGTTAAAGCAATTCACTGCCACATTGCTTATTCTGTTGGCATTTCTTCATGAAAAAAGAGAGAAGAGGAAAGGAAGAGCAAAACCAAATCTAAACAGCAGCAACCAGACAAGGCTTCAGGTAAAAAGTCATAGGAAATTTTTAAACAAATAAAACAACCAAAATATTTAAGTGAAAATTAGCAAAAAACGAACTATTTAGTAAGTATGTATTGTCAAAATTAATCTGGACTGCAAATTACCAGAAGCATAGTTACTATTTACATAGCATGAAAAAATAATATTTGAAATTTGTCATATGGTGAGCCATCTTTTAAGGATGCTGGCCTCAACTTTCCCTTAATTTAATCTAATTTGAAAGTTATATAAGTAAAGACAAGTCTCACATGACAGACTCACGTTGTCTATTGAGAAACCTCTGGGGGAAGGTCAGGACAAGACGGTGTGAATTGTGAAGCTCTGTAGAACTTCTTCCTTCCCCAATACACATTTTTAGGATTTCAAACTTCTCCAGACTTGGTTGCAGAAACTCAAAATATAATTCCTCAGATTAAAGGTTATAGGGAGATTAATTTTCCCCTTAAATTGTTCTCCTTTAAATAGCTAAACATTCACTGGAGAAGGAAGGTGACTGCAGAATATAGAAAATAGTGTTGTTGAGATTCAGGAGATCTAGAGCTAAACATTTTCCTCTGTCCCAGGTGAATGGCCTAAATCCCCAGTCTTTGTTTTCACCCTTGGATTTGTCACTGCAGTCCCAGCTCTCATTTCCCTGTGCAGTGAAGGAGCCCTTGTGTCTTCTACTGAAAAAAAATCATGTTCTCTATTAGTCTTAGTGATTTATCTCTAAATCCCTTCTCTCAGACTATTTTATCTCATATTCTATTAATTTTCCATAGATTAAAAAAAATAAATCTCTGCTTTTGGCTGGATTTTGTAGAGTGGGGGAGACCACAAAAATTTGATTTCAAAATTAGAGTATTCAAGTGCTTCTGTCCTCATTTTATCTCATTTTCTCTTGCACAATATTGTCGCATATTTGCTACAATTTCAAATGAATCTATTGGTTTTAAAACAATCCATTTTCATGTACCTTGGTATAGAAATTGCCCATTTTACCCTCACATAAATCTATACAAAATGAAAGTGGAATAAATATCAGCATACTGAAATATCTTAAAGGAGATAACTATAAAATAGATATTTCTAGTCAGGATCTGTATACCTAAATATTTTTGAGTTAATTGGTTGCTTGAGGCCAGTATCTGCTAATCTGTTGCCTAAGAATTTGTAAAGCTAGGCACAGCTTCCAAGCCATGAAGTCAAATGCCTTTGCTAGATATATATGTTTGAATTTTGAAATTAATTAGCACAGTGAAAACTACCAGCTTACCTTCTTCCTTCATCTGTCCAGTGCCTGTCAGTGTAGATCCAATTTTACTTATGAAAAAGCACCCCTGCTGGCATAGGTTTTTCTACTCTAACATAGTCACAGCTAATTGAGAAATTGATACTATGGTACTGTTTTTCTTACTTTATAGCAAAGTTTTTCACACAGTTGCAGCTACATCCACACTACAGCTTTGACTGTGTAAGGAATAAAGGAAAATTTGAGTTGGACAACAGAAACCTTTAGGCTTAGACAAAGCTATGCTCATTTTGCAAGCAAACAAAGCTTTGGCTTCTAGGCCACTTCAAAAAAGGGAAATTAGGTACCTTACAATTTTACTCACTTTCCACCAAGAAGAGGCAATTATGTATTGTGTCTAAGGTATGGAGTCAGGTAGCACTGCCAATGCAGAGGGTTTTGTGAAAGAACTAAAGTAAAATGTTAAATCACTTCAGGCAGACTCTGCTCACATGGTGACACTGAGGCACTAAAGCAGGGCTGCTCTGATCCCTGGGGGATAAGCTGGGCAGAACAGTAACACACATGGGCATTGTTTCATGTAAGGCTACAATGGCACATTGTGATTAACTTAAAAGCAAGAATGCAGATCTTGTGGAACTGAAGAATCTGTTAAGTCTCCTTTTTTCCTCCTGTCTCCAAACCCAGTTAGATTCTTGGTAAGGAAAATATTTGACTGGCCAAAGGAGATTATTTTGAGAGTCTTGATTGGGTTAATATGCAAGAATGTGAACACTAGGAAATGCAGCCTGGCAGAAGGGACTACACTGGTTTTGGCAGGGGGTGGTGGTGGTGTGTACCTCAAAACTGCTGACAGGTTTTGTCCTGTTTCCTTGGAAAAGAAGGTAAAATGGTTGCAGTTAATGAAGCCTTCATTTATTTAGGGTTCCCAGAAGTCTCTGAAGGACATCTTTATAGGAGTAAGCACAAAAAATGAAACACATCTGAGTGCAATAGTGCAAGAGTCCACCAAACTGAAATTAAACTAAAGCCATGCCCTGGTGCCATTCCTTATTTCAGGCATGGACAATATGAAATTAAATAGGTACCACTTGCTGTCTGTGAAATTGGATGCATTTTGTTCTTCTGGCAATTTATTACCTTTCTTTTCAAATCTAAGGTAGGGCTTTCAATGTCCCTAATTCATTTGACAATTGATACGAAGGTCTGTCCTTGCATTTGCTGTAGTACAGGAAATGATACAAATTACTATTTTGTCTACACTGATAGGTTCACATCGCTACAGGATAATAGTTTCCTTCTGATGTGCACTTGTGAGAAGCAAAAATAGGTCTCTTTGGCATTTATTAGACAGAGTCCATTTTTCATCTTTCTAAGGGATGTCCATTTCAGATATGCCACAGAGTCTGAAGTGTAAAACCTATTAAGCTGTGCTAAATAAACTGTTCTCCAAGGAAAAAAAAACATTCTCTCAGAGCAGTGTGTACTTGGAAGTTTGTAGGGCCACAACAGTCATCACCAAACCCTCCCTGCCCTATGTTTGCTTTGGTTTTGGAGAAAAAAAAATTACTATTAATAAATAGCAAGAGATTAAAACAATTCAGTTAGCAAGCAAAAATACAACAGTGACTGTAGCAGAGTACAGCTGTAAAGACAATGGCATATGGAAAGAAAGATGACTTCCTGGTGTCAAGGCAAACTGTTTTGTGAGTTGCTATTAACAAATATTTCAAGTGCATGAAGAAGAAAAGAAATATCTCAATTTCAAAATTTCATATGGAGCAACTATGAAGTTGCTAATTTTCCCCCACTTCACTCATACTCTGAAGCATCAACCCACTTAAGGGATTAGCTCTGTGTGCATGTGTGCATGATTACCAAAGGCTTCCACTTAAAGCATCTGAAAAACATATTAGTAAAATACAGGAGGAAGATGGAGTAAAAGCTTGGAAAAAAAATAATTGTCTTTTCCTTTGGGGAATGCAGTAGTTATGTTTGAGCACAAAATCTGCTGCCTTGCCATGGCCTCCTCCCTTTTCTCAGTTACATACCTGGTTTATTCCTATTTTAGTATCTTTCCTCATTGGTTTTCCTAGACTTTGCAGGTGGGAGAAGGAATACATAAAAAGTCAAGAAAATAAGAAAAAAAAAGTAGCTCAAGCTGTTTCTCACAGCTGCCAACAGCACAGGTGCTTTGGAAGGTAACATCTACCTTTATACAGACTTGTGCACAGATCAGAGAGACAGCACAGGAGCGAGAGACAATGCAGAAGGGAGGGGATGTGCTGAGGGGAAAGCAACACTATCAGAGGGAATAAAATATTACTCTTGAGGATCAGAGTCTTCAATTATGAGCATGATACTTGCCATTTATTAATGTGATTAAATAGGCAGACCTAGATAAGACTGCCACAAAGAGATTATTCCACTACTTAACAGAACAAAGGATGCAAGCTAAGTGCAAGGCATAACATTCCTTTCTAGATGGATAACACACTGACAGGTTTCACTTAAAATCATTTCTTTTAGTTTTGTCCTCCTTAATTCAGTTTCAAGGTCTTCTTGTTACAATTTCAGGTCTAGTCTATGCTTTAAATTTCTTCTGCTTTGTTTTTGGGTGGTCTTTTTTTTGTTTGGTTGGTTAGGTTTTTTGTGGGGTTTTTTGTGTGCTTTTTTTTCCTCTTTCTTAGAGTAAAGAACCCAAACAACAGAACAGAACAGTCAGACTCCCCGCTATGTGCACAAAAAGTCCTCAAGTGCAGCTGTGCAAAGTAATTTTTAGGGAATCTGCACCTCTTTTAGCAGGGTATGTACACATAACTGGCAATCCTTTTTATTACAGATGAAGTCTCAGTTCAATCATCCCACTGCTCCCTTCTTGGATGCTTCTTATCCTCCTGATTTGTATACATCTGCAACCAGTCTAATCTAATATCTGCTGAAAACTGTTTTCCTGTATTCTTATGTGGGCATCTCACTCCCAGCACTGACACCCCTCACTCTAAATTTGGAGGAACACCTAGTGCAGTGGCCCCTAAAATCTCATCACATTTTTTAAGAACATACTAACACTTATCAAAGTGTTTTCCAAAGTTCCCTTTCTGTCTATTTACAGCTTTAATTCCACCTCAGATTGAAAGACAGGAGCACTAAAGAATCCATCA